GAAATAACCCTCTACTGGAAGCGCCCATGTCTTCATTGAGGGAGGGTTATTGATCGCCGCGCCCCCCCCCCCCCCCGACAGCTCCGATTTAGAAATGGCGAGTTTTTAAATAATGTAGCAATGCTTTCTTGTCTTCGCTCTTGACGTGACGTCAGACACCGACTTGCTACCCGGAGGATTTGAATGCTTACAGGTGTGCAATAGATCGGACTGATTAACTTGGATAACATGATCACAGGGTGATTCTGTGGTGTCCTTAGGATGACTGGCCAGGATGGGTGAGTTGGTTATATATTACACTGTGTTATATCCTCTAAAGTAGACACAGCATTTCTTTCATAGTGAACTTAATTCCAACGACTCTTGCAATGTATAAGGGTTTTTGGTGTTGCTTTTTTTTGTGGGGGGGGGGGGGGGGGGGGTAAATCTAACTTTGAAATTTGTCAAAATGTACAGTTTATTTTTTTTTTTTTTTTGATGTTTTTAAAAACGTGATCAATGATGCGGTAATTCCGATGGATACCAGGATACGTGACAGCGCGGGATAAGATCAAATAGAATCTATTTACATTCATTGATGTATATGTATGATTCCGACACTAAAAAAAAAAATATTTGTTCATTTCTGGGAATAAGATATTGCTATAACTGTGTTATAGCAACGGATGTTGCTTTTCACGGCATAGATTTGTTTGGGATGTTTGAAATATGATTTATTACAGCAGTTCCGGATTCCACAACAACACCATGTTTACATTCTGCATTTTCTGATTATTTACATGTCAATACGACGCCCTAAAGATACATATTTTTTTCAGACATTACGGAAGTTGAGCATAAAACTATATGTTGTTAGTTTCCGTCAAACCGACGCAAGCTAGTTCAAGTTAAAGATTAATTTTGTCCTTTTATGATAGCTTCCTCCACTGCTGGTGGTATTAGGCCCCTTTCACCTTGATCATAAACTGCAGATATATTTATTTAAATATATTATGGATATTTTGATGATCAATGTTATTCAAGGTAAAAATTAAGATTATTAATGTCATCGAAATATGGAATTCCTAATCCAATCCCAGAGATTTTATTTTTAAATTTAAAAAAATGGTAATTTTATTTTTATATAAATATTTTTTTTTTGAAATGTCTTTAAATACATATCGAGATATATAAGGAATGTAATAAAATGAACAAATCTTTAATACGTTTTTTAGTTCAACAAGAATTTCTTTCTGTATTTATTTGTTTGTGTAAAAGTTGTACATAAATTAACACAGAAAGAGTTCCGAATTTCTCAGCCCGTGCTATGTTGTTAGGTAAAATGCTACAAGACTTTCTTGAGGATTACCTGGAAAAACTCGCCAATCTTGTCTAGTCCATAAATCTGTCTGATCTGCTGTTATCGGCAAGGCGTTCCTACTTAATTTATTACTCGTTTAGAGCACTAAAAAAAAATTCTCCCCATTTGCTTTAGAAATCAGTAGGTGCGTAGACGACTGATTAAATATTTATGCTGAACAGGGTTCGTTAAAAAGCCAAGAATTTGAATAGAAATTTTAAAAATAATTTTTTTTTTTAAATTCTTTTTTTAGTAACTATAAGAAACAAGATTGTTTTTCACTTAAAAGCTTCCATTATGACATATTTTGTCAAGGACTTAGAAAATGTATTTAATGTTTAAGTCTCGTTAAAAAAATAGAAGAATAGGTCTGCTAATAAAAATAAGCAATATTTAGTTGGCGAAGGAAAGAAATCTTTATTTGTAGTACATAACTTTTAAGGTTATTTTAACTCTTTAAAAAAAACCATAATTAAAGATTAGTTCCGTTTTTATGCGAGACTGTTGTCTCCCTTGGAAGTAGGGGGGTCGGGTCCTCTGAATCACGAGCGGTGTCTCTTTATTTCCATCGTGCACAGCATTCGTGGATTAGCAGCTACATCCACCTGTCTCACCTAACACCACAAAATGTCGCTGACCGGGTGTTCTCTTCTCTCTAGCACACACCAGAAATAAAAAACAACTCTTGAGGAAGTTATTCAACCGTTGTTCGGGGATTGGTTACAACGCATTGTGCTCTAGTGAACGTCAAGGGCGTGTTGTGTGTTGTTTGACAAGAGTTCCCCTTAACAACGACATGTTTGGCATTGAATTTCCTGCCAGTGAACAGTTTGGTTGTAAAACCAATGCCCCTCGCCGCCTTTCTGAAATTTACAACGCACTGGCTTCGGATTAGAGATATGATCAAAACTATTGGTCACCTGACTTTTTTTTTTTTTTTTTTTTTTTTTTTCATAGATCTCCGAACATTTGCATGCTTACGCAATTAGGACACTGTAAAACTATTCTCGTTTGTTCTAACATTTCATCGTATAATAGAAAACACTTTTAGATCAGTAAGAAAAAAAAAACCTCATTTAATCTTTCACTGGTGTTGGCTTTAAGAAACTCTGACCACAAAATAATTCTGTTTTAAATCATAATTCAAAGTATCGTCAGCTTGACGGGGTGAAGACGACTGTCACCATTATTTTCAGACCAACCCTTGGCCATAAGTGGCAGAGCAACGAGTTTACTTTTTAATTAAGTGGAAAGATTTCAAAAAGCTCAGAGCTTTTAATTTCCTAAATGAAATTTGCATTTCATCTCGCAGTAATTTTTATAGGAAATATATATTTTTTTAAAAATCTCTCAATAAATCTATGCGAAACGGATTACCCTAAGCTTGATGCCGACAAGTATCATGGGCGTTGACACAATTAATACTAGTGAACCCAAATGAACCTGATAGGAAAGATCACAAGGAGACTTCAATACATTTGTGAAGCGTTACAAGCAAGAATGGTGGTACACAGGGAAGAAGCCTGTACGAATACGTACAAGTAGAGCAGCCCTTATCACGCCAAAGGCTATATTGAAATATAAGGAAAAGTGTGAAACAAGATGAAAAAAACGCTAAAACTTAAATAAATTCCTTTCATACTTATAATTAAGAAAGGTGGAGCAAAACGAAATAAAACCAAATCAAGGTTGCTGCAGATGTCATCACAGGAAAGGTAATCACAGCTAATCTAATCACATGACATGTCATCGCAGCAAGTGTCATCACAACTAATGTCCAAGAAAATATAATCTCAGCAAATGTCATCTCATCAGATGTCAGCACAGCAAACGTCATCGAATCGCATGTTGTTGATAGTCGGTATCTTGGAATTTGCTAGACCATTTCAAGAGTTAGTTAATCTGAGAAAAATTGAAGCAGGAAACCCAGAGAGGAAATGCATGATCGATAATTACTAGGTTGTGTCTCCTTGATTTCCTTGGGATGAATCATAAGTTTTTTTTTCCAATAAATCCATCATATTAAATTCGCTTTTGTTTGTGGCTGAATGGGTGGAAAAAACTTTCTTTTCGTTTTCTAAAATTGTTGGTGAAATAAATCTGCAGCTTAAAAGTGTGTAGTTCATTAGCATATTAATATAGTTAGTGGCCTTGACACAAATATGCAGGTTTGAGCATTGAGCATTGAAGGAAAAGGGGGGGGGGGTAGCTCTAAATGGGATTCTTATAAATTGGTTTACTGGTATGCATGTTTTTGTCAAACTATCAGCCTCAACCTTCCATTGCTCGATATTACGTTTATTTTATTTATGAATTTTACAAAAGTCTTAGTTTGTATGAGCAGTTTATTACGACCAGAATAACCCACGGGCTAGGCAGAAGAACTAAAAACTTTTTAAATAATATGAATACAATGTAATATCGTGTACTACAATGTAACGCCGTGTAATACAATGTAATATCGTGTACTACAATGTAACGCCGTGTAATACAATGTAATATCGTGTAATACAATGTAACGCCGTGTAATACAATGTAATATCGTGTAATACAATGTAATGCCGTGTAAAACAATGTAATATCGTGTAATACAATGTAACGCCGTGTAATACCATGTAATATCGTGTAATACAAGGCAACCCCAAATGTCTGGAAGCACTTCCCAATCGGAAGATGATTATAAAAACGAAGAAGTTTTTCTTTCGCCCTCGACGAGACCTTTAGAAATTTAATAATAATATTTACTTCCACCAACGAGACATAAGCCGATGAGAAAAATCACAACCAAAAAAACTCATCACAAGAGCAGTGAAAGGAATAAGACATATGAATATGAAATACACAGGAGTTTACACAATATATGTGCATACATGAGCATCTCATGGATAAATTAATAGATACGTTTGAAAGTAACACATTGTAAATATATTTTTGCACACGTTATTTAATCCTTGATAGCAACTTCGCTCTTGTTTGTTAATGGCAAAATGTTCGGAAGGCCAATTGATCCACTTCCCGTTAACCTATCGAGCTGAAACTTGGCAAATAGACTTGTTTCGGATAACAACATATCCTCTCAAATATTTGTTTATCCCCACTCCCCAACGTCAAACCCCCAACATCTTTTTCTACTGTTTTTTCAATGGGAAGATCAAGGAACACTGATTTTAGGAAATACATGAATGCGCTAAATGAGATTCACCTTTCTAATCAGTCTTTGGTTACTTTTAGTGCTACTCAGTCTATAATTGACATTAATTTTGACTTACAAAATAAAATTAATGCTAATAAATAGTGCAACACATACACAGTGACACGTAAGATTTTATACTAAACATATATGGGGGACTTGTTTAAGCACACCATTCTATAAGATGATAGTGCTAGCATACCCTCAACATGACCAGGTACTGAAAGATCCCACAATGGGTGTATGCCTGACATGTTACGACCCCCCCCCCTCCCCCCCCCCCAATGTCGTGTCGCGAGACGATCAACCGCAAGCTGATATTTGCCAGTCGAATAAAAGAACCTTCGACGGAGGAGCAATAAATCTAGTCTTTAAATTTCTCACAACCCGCCGTTACTTACCTCCCCTGGATTATGTTGTCTGCCCTTTCCGTCTGATTGTTTGTTACGGGTAAACAAGTCGAGGCTATAAACGAGCTGTAGGTGCCGTAGTGGGCGTTGTTGGCTTTACAGATCCATGTTTGTGAGTGAGAGTCTACAGCTTACATTTTGACAATTTATCATATTCAGTGTTGATAAATCTAAAAAAAATATGATTTCCTGAAGCAATCCTGCTGTGGTTTTTATGTGTGAAATGTGTAAAAAAAAAAGAAATTTCAATTCATTATTAATGAGAAGAAACACATGCTTATGTGTGAAACACTTTTTTTTGCCTTACGGTGCTGTCAATAATTTTAACAGAAAGCATTGCACGTGTTTAAATCCATCCAATATTTTTTTTAAAAACATTTTAAGTTGTTTTATCCTTTCCGTGAAATCTGCGGGAACCAGAGAATGAAAACGTTGCCTAAAATAGTAGAAGAAAACGCGCCAGAACAAGATGAAAGTACAACACATATAGAAACTGCTTGTAAAAAAATCCACGATGTAACAAGAGGTACCATGCCTGAATACCCACAGACTGCATCAAGCCAGACCCAAGTTACGTCGCTGTATGGGCCGGAAAATAGTTCTCAAGGCATCGCAGTTTCAAAACAAACGTGTCACGGCTTGGAAAAATCGCTGCGCAATAATACAGGGACCAGCGGAAATGATGACAAGCAGAGTCTGCCTACGGAGGATGTTGGCAAGATATTGGCTGGAGCTCCTTCAACGTCTTCATCAACATCGTTTTCATCGTCAACAGCACCAAGCGCGTCAGTGCGTGAGAATTCAAAAATGAAACAGAGCGTTAGCTCCCACCAACAATCCGCAAGGTTCTCTCCATCAAACGCCAAACGCCTATTGCAGAAGAGGGCCCCTGGTGGAACCAACCAATCACTAGCTTCTATGGCTGACCAGCGTGGGTCAAACAAGCTTAACTATCGCTCGGAAAATAAGATTTATCTCAAACCTTTGCTTGATGACGACTTTCTGGACTGGATGGAGTGAGTAGACATAAGATAATAGAACAAGCTATTCAATTTTAAAGTTATTTTATATTTTATCTTTATTTGTCAAATCTGCGAAAGACGTTTGTATATTAAGCTCTGAAATGCGTCATATAAACTCCTTTTTAAAAAAAAAAGACAAATCAGAATAAATTATCAGTTTTGTAAAAATGTATTTCAGATTAATATCTATAAAACATTATTACGACAACCCGACAAGTAGCTAGGCCCTCACAATCAATTAAACAAATTTACTCATCTATAGGTAAAATACAGAACATTGTGTTCTCGATTTTCTTATACCCGATTTAAAGAGAACATGAACACACCTTGCAACGTATTCGTCCTTCAGGTTGTTCTTAAAGAATCGTTAAAGATGGCTACGATTAGTAGCGGCACATTATATCAGATACTTTCAATTATTAAAAGATGCGCCCCTTCAGTTACTCTCTACTCTTCTAAACCATTGTGTTTTACATTTATAGATGCGCCCCTCCAGTTATCCTCGACTAGTCTAAACCATTGTTTAGATGCTGCTAGACAAGACATGTATCAAACAAGAAACACACTTATTAATCATATTCCCATTTTAATTATGTCAGAATCACTGCACAAAAATTGTGTTGTTGATCGTGTTCTAGAGAGAAGAAGGTGAGAACACCAAACATTTAAGGAAATGATTAATAGTTTTGATAATATTACACCGCTCCAAAAAAGATAAACGAAGGACTGGGGTGACGTGTTTTATTACACTTTATCAAACATGAATGATTTATTTATGATTCAGTTATTTATTTCTATATACACACACAAAAAAAGCAAGGAATCAAAATTATTGCCGTCACTTTGGTAAATATTTACATTTTCTGTTGTCAGGGATGGTTCGCGATGAATTAATTTATCATGGGATATTCAATAATGGTGTAAATTGGATGCAAACGGCATGCACATTTCGACATTATCATTCAGTGAACATTCCTGTCTCTATTACCCAATCAGTCTCACTGCAAACAGAGGTTTGTATTTTAGAGTTTAAGGTACGAAAAGATGCGTCAGCCGTTCTCATTGTCCTGTTTCGATTCACATTTAATTTGTTCAATTTATGTCCTTATGTTCTTTAGATAAGGGACACCATCCATACAGGCTAGGGGAAGGGGATCTCCAAATGGAGGATTTGCTGAAAAAGGGGGGGGGGCACAGTAAGTGGTGGAAGTGCATTGGGTTTTTCCATATTAGATGAGCTGGAAAAGTGGTGTGAAAAAAAAACAAAAACAACAGCGTCCACCCCTACCTAAAATTGTTTAGCTCCACACAAAAATGTGAACTAGTTCATGGGAAAAATGCTATTAATAGCTGTGAGACTTCACGTGGGCTCAGTGTAAGTGTCGTTTCACCAGCTAGCTTAACAACAACAAATAAAAAACAAAAACAAAAAAAAAACAATCAACCATTTCACGTCAACAAACTATTACATGTGTGCAGGTTCGACAACTGTGTGTGCCCAATCTCAACCTTAAAGCTGGTTACTCCCCTCATGTCGCGAACAGTTCCACAACGTCACGGTGCTGCGTTGAGGTTAAAGTTGGGTAGCGCGCAGCCCTGTAATGTTCTACTTGTTGAGTTGAGAGGGACTTTTGAACGGTTTGTGTTGAACTGTGTTAAAAAATTGCTTTTTTGAAGCCGTTTATAGGATGGCGTCGAGCTCGGTAGCATTGCTGGCCGCGATCCTGTGCGTGCTTACTACATGTTTAATATCCTCACACCAATAGACATCATTTAATTTCTCCGTGGGATTAAGTTGTATTTGATTTTATACATCCCGAAATAATTTTTGTTTAAAACTATGTATACATCCTTCAGATTAACTTCGCTTTTGTTCATGTGTTGGTGGCAACAAATTCGGAAATGACTCTCTTCCCGTCATCCTATCGAGCTGAAACGTGGCACATACACTAGCTTCCGATTACAACTCATTCTTTCAAATTTTCAACCACCCCCCCCCAGCCCCAAAAGTCAATTTTTCCTATTTATCAAGGGTGAATTTTGATTTGTACAATGGTTGCGTGCTTTGGTGTGGAGATTAATTGTGTAGCTGTTGCTATGTGCTTTGTATTGTTGACATATGTGGCTTAACAGTAAAAACAAAATGTATTTCTTAAGGGGAAAATAGAAGAAATATGAAATATGTTTTCGCCAGAAGTTGCCCATTTACATAAACGCATTTTAATAAACGATAATTACATAAACGCAAATAAAATTACGTAGGAAGGTTTTTTACTCACAACTTTGTTTTTAAGGGTTATTTATTTGAGTCTAACGAAAGCGTCGAATGGTAACAAACTGCGACTTTGCATGTAAAATTACCTTGTGCACTGTTACATTAACGTTCGTTATCTTTATATTTTCTCAAGATGCTTCAAATAGTTTTATGAAAATAACTAGAATCATGACACATTATAAACAATTTAAATTCCCCGACCTAAAGCAAGCTACCCCTCCCTTACACTGCCCCTCTCCTTACTCTGCCCTTCTTCTTTCTCTGTCCCTCCCCTTTACTCTGCCCCTCCCTTTACTCTGCACCTTCCTTTACTCTGCCCCTCCTTTTATTCTGCCCACTCCCTTTACTCTGCCCCTCACTTTACTCTGCCCACTCCCATTACTTTGCCCCTGCACTTACTCTGCCCTGCTCCTTACTCTGAGCCCCGTATACTCTGCCCCTCCCTTTACTCTGCCCACTCCCATTACTCTGCCCCTTTCCCTTACTCTGCCCCCTCCCATTAATCTGCCATCAGTCCTTTCTCTGCCCCTTCCCCTACTATGTCCCCTCCCATTACTCTGCCTCTTCCATTACTCCTCTCACTGCCCTTACTCTGCCCCTCCCATTACTCTTCCATCTTCCATAACTCTACCCACTTCCCTTACTCTGCCCTCTGCCTATAGCTACTTTTAATTCGAATATTTTCCTTTTAAGATTATTCAAATCATTTTGTTTAATAATTTGACCTATACTTATCTAGACTATCTCTGCGATATTCTTTACACAACTATGTTACCTCAATAATGCACATGATTCACTTAGCGCCTGTAACTGTGTTTAGTCACTGGAAAGATTGTAGTCGGGAAATAAAAAAAAAATATAAATGAAATGCTTCCTGTTTCTCTAGTCATTGTGGCTATCTATCCAAGCACATGTTTCGCTGAGCCCAGTAGTAAAGAAACACCTCCACAATATTGATTCGTTTCTCTACGGGTGTAACGATGTTGAGATAAAATATTAACCCGTGATCGTTCCTGTTGTTTATTCAATACATTCAGTATTGAATGTTGCCATCACTCGTAGACAGTTGTTAAAATCAATTTGAGTCTGATCGCTGGTATTAAAAAAAACAACTAAAAAAAAAACTATTCTTCTTGTTCACTTGCACGTCTAGCTTGGAGACGTCCGGAGTGGAAACACTTGTTGAAAACCAAACCCTGCCTGTTGTTTAAACACTAATTCTTAAGCCCTGATTGGATGATATTTTGTAATCCTTTTTATGAACTTCCCTTCTGTTCGTGGATAGCAAAATCGTCGGACGGCCAACTGACCCACATCCCGTCAAGCTATCGAGCTGAAGCTTGGGACGTCGTTTAGTTGCCAATGACAACACATTCCATCAAGTTTTCAGACCAAACCCCTAACTCTCCCCGAAAAACTCATTTTCTTTCCTGTTTTTCAACCGGAAGATGAAGGAAATATGATGACCCTGATTTCCTTCATTAAATAAAACGTCATTTTCGTGTATTTACACAAAAGGTAACGATGATGAGCTAAATAACTAAAATATCTGTTCATGTTTTTAAAAAAATACTAATGGTGTTAAGCCAAATAACTGACATATCTCCTCATGTATCTAACAAACAGTTTTCAGCAGAATAATCTTAGACCGGACAACTCGCTGCCTTTCATCAAACTAAAAATCAACTTATCTAATGTAATCGGACAATTAAATGAATGGGTATGGCTGAAGGTAAACGGAGGGTTCTTTGTCTGTTTACGTAATCATGGCTGAAGGTAAACGGAGGGTTCTTTGTCTGTTTAAGAAATCAAGAGAAAAAAATCACCGACTTAATATTTTAGTTTAGGATTTAATAAAATAAATACACAAAGAAATTTTTTTTTTTAAAATAAAAATTAGCCATCTTATTTTAAAGATATGAAAGAAAATCTATAACAACACTTTTCAAAAGATGTATATCAACCCACAAACTCCCCCTACAGAACTATGTAATAACATGAAGAATGAGATCACTCATACTCATACCGTTTAAATGGTTATCCATTAAAATTGACAAGACACAAAAGTTCTGTACGCACGACAATATTATCTTAAGTTTAAAGACAACCAAACTTTAGTTTTTTACATATATAAATAAATCTAATCCCTTGAGCGATATGTTTTTTTTTAAACTTATTTTTTAACATTCGTCACACTGCTTTGGATACTTAGTTCACGCCAACTCAGTTTCGAAATGTTTATCGGACAAGGGGGGAAAAACGATAAGAGTTACCACCCATTGAAGTTAGTCACTCTACAAAATAAAAATCCTTGGCTTTAACTCTATTAATATGATCGATAACTGGGTGAAGAGAGACAGGTTCGATTTAGCCAACACGCCTGTCTTATACTAGACAACGGCCTTGCGTGACTGGCCTAAAATATACTTATTTGTTGTTTACAATTAGGGGGTGGTTCAGTTGGTACTAAAAAAAAAAAAGCCCTCACGGACACTAGTTCAAAAGACTTGCTTTCTGAAAGGGGGCGAGACATGGGGTAACATCAATAACCGTTATACTTATTTGTTGTTTACAATTAGGGGGTGGTTCAGTTGGTACTAAAAAAAAAAAAAGCCCTCACGGACACTAGTTCAAAAGACTTGCTTTCTGAAAGGGGGCGAGACATGGGGTAACATCAATAACCGATAGAGTACGAAGAAGCCGTCTCACACCTCAAGGGTTGTGTTTGAAAGGGGGCGACGGTACGCCAAATGGAGTCAGTAGATAGCGAAAGTAAGCTATCTCTTTTATGTTGAGATCGTAAATCGATATGTGTCGGGTGGGAGTGGGGAGGGGGGAGGGGAGAGAGTTAAGGCTGTTTTGTAATGGCTCTACGTACTTGCGGTGAACTGCCACAATGGGCGTGAAGGGACTTGGAGTAACAGAGAAATTGCTGTCCGTGAAGTTAGAAGAATCCAACGTAAATCTATAGAGACTCTTTTAATGAAATTATAGTTTTATGAACTGTTGAATGGGCGAGACTCGACCGAGTCTTGGGGTATTAGGCTGTTTATTTTGTTTACTATGGTAAATGGTTGGTCCTTGAGCACATGGAGTTAATGGCTTATCGTTGGTTTATGTTTAAAAAAAGGCTTTGTTACAGAGATAATATTTTATATAAAAGGGGAGATGTAGAGAGATCTATATATAAATATAATGAAAGAGGGACAAAGAGGGAGAAAGAGGGAGGAGAAGGGAGAGAGATAAATGTAAAGAGAGAAAAAGAGAGTGATAGAGAGAGAGAGAGAGAGAGAGAGAGAGAGAGAGAGAGTGAGAGAGTGTGGGGGCATATAGAGAGAAGGGAGAAGAAAGGGGGAAAATGTTTTCAAGAAATGAGAATGATATAAACAAAGTTTTAATAGCAACAACAGAAATACACATATTTTCTTTCGATTGAAAAATGGCCTCTCTATGTTATGGGACTTCCTTTGATATACGCTACATGTCTTGTAACATGGACTATAGCATAAATCCTGGACGACTGTTAACATAACAGAGGCTAACCATGCTTTGTGGGCTAAAAAGTGAGCTCTTTCGAAATTACACACAACATGTTAAGAAAAGACGAGAAGATGAGAATAATCGTAGACTCGTTGGCCATAGCTAATCTTACTCTATGGCCCATTCTCACCGTATTTATGTGTAGTTCATATGTAGCTGCATGGAACAGGAGAAAAATTATCGATATAGCGAGAGAGGTTTCAATTTTGGTCAGGTCTCAATAGAAGCATTGCACTGCATACGAGTAGGTAGACTGAATTAGCAGAGCCGTCGGGTTCGACTGGTCGATGCCTGGGTTTGTAAACAGTCGTGGGAACAAGTCAGTGTTGTGTTTCCATTAGCAAGCTAGAGATTAGGTCTGTGTTGCGTTTTATTCAGTGGAAATTGTGTGTTGAAAAAAAATGATTGTGTGGTTTTCAAATGACGATGCTGCTATCTATTCATTTATAGCAAGACTGGGATCATTTTCTTAAACTAAGTCAATACCGAGAATTTAAAAAAAATAATTGTTTGGAAGACTTACAAAATATTTTCGAATTGTAATAAAATTAACTTTTCATTTGCCTTAACGAAATATAACTTTTTTTTTTCATTAAGAATGTTTATATGTTTTTTATCAATGGGAAACTTATAAGTAAAAAAGTGGAACTAGAGGAATTTGACGTTTAAGGCTTACAAATAGCTTTGATGGCGTTTTGTTTCGTGGTCCAAAAGTAGTCCTCATTGATTCGTCGCCTTCTTTGGTTGATCAATCTGAGTTTGGACAAAGCCGAAAAAGTGTCTTTCCATGCTAGGATCTTAGTTTTGATCCGTAAAACGAAATCTACTGGGGGGGGGGGGGAAACGATTACGCTTTTTAATAAACACATGTCTTTTTTTAAAAAACCCACAACACAACTTAATTTTTTTTTTAGTCAGCCCCGGTATAAATCCTTCATTAAATATTCATCTTATCCGTTTAAAAAACGTTTTAAAATAATCATAAAAATATTTGTGTTGATCCGTAAAACGAAATCTACTGGGGGGGGGGAAACGATTACGCTTTTTAATAAACACATGTCTTTTTTTAAAAAACTCACAACACAACTTAATTTTTTTTTTAGTCAGCCCCGGTATAAATCCTTCAGTAAATATTCATCTTATCCGTTTAAAAAACGTTTTAAAATAATCATAAAAATATTTGTGTCAGACTAGTTTGTAAATCCTTCCGTGTATGACAATATACTCATAATTTCTTTCCACTGCTACCATAAGCCGAGTGTTTAAGCACCTGTAGAAATTTTACAACGTCAAGGATCGTCTTTTTTTTTCATCTTAAACACAACTTTTAAAATTTGATAAGCCTGGGTTGGCGTTGCATCCAGCGGTTACCAATACTATTAGTCGTAAATCAATGCTGCCCACTGCACTCCCCTTATCAAGCACTTCTCCTGGACGTGTAGAAAACCTTTCAATTAGTCCAACTCTTAGCAACCCATGACGTTTAGCAAATTTTTCCTACTGAGACCAGCAAAAAAACTCATTCAATCAGTGTCAATATATTCGAGGCCCCCCCCCCCCCCCCCAAACAAGACTCTGATCGTTACGTGATAAAGTGTGTGTGTGGGGGGGGGGGCGGGGGTTATGATAAAAGGAGAGAAAGTAATAGCCGACATTCTGACATGGGTCGCGGAGTCAGCACTGTAAGAGACGCCAAACTATCGGAAATTACCATTTAATGGTGAACTCTTGTGTCAATACGCGACTTAATATCTCCATACGTTATTTACATAAATCGTGGGAGCTTCCCGTCTGATAGATGTGTAGGAGAGATAACTCACTTTCACCCACACGAGACCAAGGACGGTTTCCGAATGATATTAGATTCGTCTTAAAGTATGCAGTTGTTTTTTTTTCTCTTTAGTTCAGTGTTAAGTACATTTGGGCGTGTAAGCGAATGCAGATTCAAATTGCGTCCAAACGGCCATGAGATCTCAATCAAGTCAGGGAGTAGCCGTGGTAATCAATTGGTGACCGAACACATGTGAGATAGAAGTGAGATAGAAGTGAGATACCATTGAACTAGAAGGGAGATAGAGGTTGTAAAAATGTCAACCGCATCGAAGCCTTCATCAATTACAAACTCTGTTGTCCCAGTTGATGTGCAAAGTATTTTATCGGAGGAGATCATTATCATCGAAGAAGAAGAAGAAGACGCTCACGAAAACGGCTTAGAAGTAGACGATCACATTAGGTAAATGTGAACCAGGTTTATCTTAATATATAGTCTATTGTTTTTATTATTATTAATTTTTTTTAAAATTGACAATAAATGCCGTCCATTAACTATGACTTTTTAAATGGACGCCATAGTTTTCCCTTGATTAAAATCAATAATAGTTTATTAAAAGTTGATATTTTATTGAAGAGACCTATCCTTTTAATCATTAGGAAATAGTCATACTGAATGCCAAGGTAAATTGTATGAATTGTCGTGTTTCTGTCAATATTTAGGCGAAGTGATGAACGCTCATATGGATGTCCTCGGATTGGTAAATATTTATATCTCTGCATGGAAACACATGACCAGCCATGCTGCCAGTTTTGTAATTTATTTATTTCATATCGAGTGAAAACGAGGGAGGGGGGGGGTAGTAAGGACCCCCAGGCGGTGGGAATCATCTTTTTCTAACAGAAACATAATGTTTTTTCGTAACAAGTTACCCTTTAATGGGAAATTCTTGACTCCTTACTTGTTACACCATGCTGAAATACCCAGAATGTGGACGAATGATTATACTATATCGTTACTAACCTTACAAACACAGTTTCTCATCGTATTATACAAACCTTTGATTTCACTCGTAGTTTATTGTGTATATATGTTTGTTTTTGGTGTGTTTATTTTACGTTGTCCGTTAATCCCTGATCCATTTTTTTTAAAAATTTCTTCAGACGCTTCGGCATATCAATACAATTTCCCGGTTTCCTAAAACTATTTCCAGTTAAGTTCCTTTCTGTTTGTTTGTTTCTTTATTCTCTATGTTTAGCTGATGAAGTCTTCTTAGTCGACATGACCCGTTGTTTTGTCGTGTGAACCCTCAGGATCCCCCTCTACCCTGTGTATTACATTTGATACCGCTTTAACTTGAACTAAGTCCACCCTATTTTTACACTTATGACCATGCCTGTATTATAAAACCCGTTTTCTTGTAAAGTTACACCATTTGGTGTACACAACGCATGATTTTGTGGACTAGCTGTATATGATTACATCAATAGGTGTAAACAACACACTATTTTGTGGACTAGCAGTGTATGATTACATCATTTGGTGTACACAACATATGATTTTGTGGACTAGCAGTGTACGAGTACATCATTTGACTTATTCAAAACATGATTTTGTGGACTAGTGTCGAGTATGAGCGTTCATTAGTACTTGTTGCGACTGAATATTATGTAATTATCTAAATGATTACATCAATAGGTGTATACACCACATGATTTTGTGGACTAGCAGCGTATGATTACATCATTTGGTGTACACAAAACATGGTTTTATGGACTAGTGTCGAGTATGAGCGTTCATTAGTAATTGTTGCGACTGAATATTATGTTTATTGTGTAAATCATTACATCAATAGGTGTATACAACACATGATTTTGTGGACTAGCAGTGTATGATTACATCATTTGGTTTACACAACACATGATTTTGTTGACTAGCAGTGAAGAATTAACATACAGCTGATATTTCGCTTTTAAATAAGTCTTTCTTTTGCACGTATCGAACGTTTGTATACTATGAATTTAATTTGTTCTCGCAATTTGCATCTTTACACAAAATGATTTTTTACACAAATGCCTAATTTCGAAAAATTTAGGCTCAAATTTAAAAGAGTACATAAGCTCGATAAGAGTTGTTGAATCATTGATTTCTAGTGCGCCTCACCCAGCCTCAGAGTGGAGTTTGTTGTCCTATGTAAATATTTTATCCACGACAAGCCTGCATTATTATTTATCACTGGTGTTCGATTTTCAATAAAGTCAATAAAGTGGGTTACAACAAGTTGTTCATATTCTCTACATGCTTCTGTAGCCGTCATTCAATTCAAATGAGCCACCAGCTAGGCTCAGAAGAACTGGCTTTGTATAATGCAATAGTGGGATACTCGTACCTGAATTGATATGAGCCACCAGCTAGGCTCAGTAAAACTGGGTTTCTGCAATGTTTTGACGGGCCACTTGTCCCAGCATTACGTCATGACCGCGTTGATGATTTAACATAAAATAATAACGACCCTGGTATAATTCAGTTACATGCATTGACATGGTTCCCCACCTGTTCACGACTGTGCATATATGGACACTTGAAATACTTAAAATCGTGTAAACATTTTGGCGTGCTTGGCATCATTTTACTTTCTCACAACGACACCGGAAACTTGATATGATACACGTTGCCATTGACGAAAAAAAAGGGTGTTAAAATATCCCACAAAATGTGTGACGTGTGTGGACGCACATTTAAAGAAGGGGATTAATGAAACCTTTAATACTATTGAACACTATAATCATTTATTTCAATTTTGTAAAATTATGCAACAAATTTACTTTTAATTTAAATGATAACCCTACTCACACGTGTGCATGTATGACTTTTCTCGTATGACAATCATCTAGCCGGCCTACTGTGTTGTCATGCTGAACGTAGCTCAAAACGCGTCACATCTAACAATAGCCGATCAATGAAAATCGCGTATAAACGGAAAATTTAAATGTCGACCGGTAAGAAGGCGAGTTTTAAGCAAAATGTATGGATTGGCGAAATAAAGCGTTCCTGTCAAGGATTGCATCTGGAGATTTTAGCGGGCCATACCAATAAACAATAGATGGGATTACTTTTCGATCGATATCAAATATGTATATGTAGCGTAATTATATTATAAAAGGAAAGAGCGCAAAAATGTCTCTATTTTTGGAAAATTTTTTTTTCCCCCCCCCCCCCCCAACACAAGTCTAAATTTTTACACACCTTACTATTTTAAAAATCTCATTTTTTTAAAAAAGCATATACACAAGAATACTGTTCCTCGTCATTTTTCGACATGCGCGTAACGTATACGCGAATGAGTTTCGTGACATCTAAATCCAACAGTCTCGTTTAGTTTTGTTTTCGGCTTCAGTTTTGGCCTAAATTCAATTTTAACTTTCGGAAAATCACATTCGGGTCGATCACTAGTTAATAGACACCCCACCCTAGAGGTCACTAGAGGTCATTTTAACTTTGATACGGTTTCCACGTGTCTGGAAACGAACCCAGGCCAAATTCCTAACTTCCGATCTATGTGAGAGCAACTGTCCTGTCTTCTGCAGCAGGCGGTACTTAGGTCAGGTGTCGATATGTTTTCCTCTGACACATGTCAGCATTTCGCCGCTGTGGGAAATGCTTTTGTCCCAGTGGCTGTTGACTTAAAAGTGGGGTGTATTTCAGCGGCTCTCTTGTCCAAAGAAATCTATTTTTAAAATGCCTTGAAAAGTCATTTTAACTAACAAGTAAATAGTGCCTCACACCATGAAAATGGATTGGGGCAAGCTTTTATTAAATGTAGGGCCATTTGAAATTGAAAAAGAAAATGTTTCGAACTGACTTTATTAATTATAATTTGTACATTTGTGAAATTAAAAGCGCCCATTTATTGGTCTACCAGCGTTTTATGTGTACAACTTTTATTATACATAAATTGAATCTATTGACCTGGTTATTTGATATAACGACTCCCCTTACTCATTTTGAGAACGCCTATTTACAAGCATGTTGAAATTTATTGGCACGTCCTTGTGTGGCCAGCGAGATTTATGGCTTGTGCAGAGCATACATTAGCAACGTCACCCTGCGCTGAATTTTTCACACGTCTTGTCAAAGAGATTAATTATATAGGCGTCACAGCCTCTTTTTTTTCATTTTTAATATTTTTTTGTTTTGTTTTTAAAGTAGCATTTTTTAAACTAATACAAACATTGTAAACACGTGTATGTATTGAAAATAAACAATAATAAATATCTAAACGACATGGTTTAAAAACTACAATGGAAACTACATATAATACACGCGATCTAAAGAAATATATATGTTCTGTATAGTTTTGGTCTTGTTGTCTCATGACACTGAACTCGATTTATTTTGAAGGTTTGATCGGGTGGCCCAAAATGCCCGCCTTGAGGAACACATGAAACTGCACCACTTGGAACAGCTGATGGATGCGTTCACACACCACAAACCAAAAGACATTCTCCTACAAGAGGGGTCGGGCTACTTCCCGCCAAAAGTTCTGAAGAGGACGCCCGGGTGCATGAACCTTGAGGAGTTCAAGGACACAATCTTCAGAACTCTCGGCACGGACGAGTACGATGACTACTTGGAGAAACTGTTTATGAAAGTGAGCTTTTGGTTGTTTTTTTTGTTTTTGTTGTTTGTTGTTTTTTTTTTTTTGTGTGTTTGTTTGTGTACACAAACGAAACTTTAGTTCTGGATGCGTACATTACTTGGATAATACAATTTAAAACAATCTGTACACATCAAGAGAAAGCTGTTGGTTAATACGATCAACCCATCTACAGTATCCTCTCTAGGATACGTTAAAATGCAACTCTTTGTTTTTTTAATTTGACTTTTAGTGATCAAAATAAAATTATTAAAAAGTGATTTGTGTCAGTGGCTCTACAAATATATAGCGATACAAACTACAAAAAAAAAACAAAAAAACAAAAACAAAAAAAAACCGTGAAATAATACATTAGACTTGCATTCAACTAATAAAAAAGCTAATACTTTTTATCCTCTCTAGGATACGTTAAAATGTATTTCTTTGTTTTTTTAATTTGTCTTTTAGTGATCAAAATAAAATTATTAAAAAGTGATTTGTGTCAGTGGCTCTACAAATATATAGCGATACAAACTACAAAAAAAAAACAAAAAAACAAAAACAAAAAAAAACCGTGAAATAATACTTTAGGCTTGCATTCAACTAATAAATATGCTAATACTTTTTTTGTGAGGTGATCGGGAAAAAAAATGATTTTTAATTTTTGAAAGAAAAAAACGTTAATTTCTAATTGCATACAGTGTATTAAATATCACGAATCAAACCAACAATTATATCTCTGAATCTGGAAGGTCGAGGTAGAGTATAAATGCACACTTTGTTCTTGACCAAGCTTTATTCTTGATATACCAGCTGGACACCTCCAGTGATGGTTACGTCGACTGGAATGAATTCTGCTCCTACTTGCTGCTGACCTTCAGAGAAAATGACTACCTACGCACAAAAACTGAGATCCCGTTTATGCTGGAGCCCAAGATACGTCATATAGTACATAACAGGGTGAGATTTAACAGAAAACGAGTTGTCCATTCTTAGAAGGTTTGTTGTGTGATAAAATATTCTAAGGACAACTACTAGCCTCTGCGTTCTATTTTGGATCTGCATATTTTTATTAGTCAAATATTCAGTTGGAAAATAAAAATTAAATAGCATGTAATTATTTGCTCTCTTATTGTTGAAATATAATGATAACTTTAGCAAACATCTCGGACGTGCAAATGTTTATTGGAAAAGATTCACTTGTTTTGACCATATTCATCATATTGTAGTTTTTTTTACCGTTTTAAACAAACCTTGTCATTCATAACTGGGTAAATGTCTCTATTATTACAGCAAGAGCAGACCACTAAAATTGTAGCTGTGCATGCCCCTGTGAGATATGTGACAATCAGCAGGGTGAGTGGAAGTCTTACGAGACAGAACATTTCCTTTTCCCTAGACAACAGAGATTTATATATTAAAATACCATCGGAATGACTTAAACCAGCAGTTTTATATCGCTAAGTACTGGTATTGTCCGTATTTACCATTACCGGTTGGTGTATTGCTCGTAATTAAACAACCCCATCAAACTAAGTTTTTCGTTTAAATCCTTGACATGTATTTTTAAACCGCCGATTTATTTCACCAACTATTTAAAAAAAAATATATATTTATTTAAAAAAAATTACACACTAAACGAAATTGCGATATTTTTTTCGTTAAAATCTCATTTAGCTCAGGATTCTGTATTTTTATTTCGTGAAATAAGTGTGATCATATTTCCTTAATATTTCCTTTTAAATACAGAAATAACCGACTTTTGGGGGTGGGGGTGAACATTCGAGACAATGTTTTGTCAATGGCATCGAGTCTATGTGCTGAATTTCAGCTCGATAGGTTGACGGTAGTATTTTACCACCCATCCAGGAGTAAAGACACGAACAGAAGCGGAGTAAATATAAATCATTTAATTAAAAAAAATTATAAAATATTTTGAATTATAATTTTTTTCTCCGCCTATGACATCACGGTGTGTCAATAGAAGGGGGCGATGCGTGTATGCCAGCCTAACATTTCATTTTTTTTTTTCTACAGGAGGGTGCAATGAGTGTGTGGCAACCCAATATGGCCATGGAGAAACACTACACGGTGTCTGACCAGGAAGACGATCAGAACAAAAGGCGTTTCAAAATGTGGGTCACGGACGCCGTCTACATGCAGAATTGTCAGAAGATTGCCATCGCCTCGACCAGTCGTGACATTCGTTTTTTCGACGTGTCTTCTTCTCAGTATTTCGAGGAATACCATTTATTTGGTGAGTACCATTTATTTGGGAAGTACCGGTAATTTGGCGAGTCCCATTTATGTTGTCAGTTGTGAGTACCATTATTTTGTGAGTGCCATATATTCGGAAGTACCATTTTTTGATGAGTACCAACTTATTTTGTGAGTACCATTTATTTGGTCAATACCAATTTATTTAGTGAATAGCATTTATTTGGCGAGTAGCATCTATTCGGGAGTACCATTTATTTGGTGAGTTCCATATATTTGGTAAGTATCATTAATTTGGGAAGTACCAGTAATTTTGTGAGTATCATTTATTCGGCGAGTACCATATATTTGGTGAGTACCATTTATTTGGTGAGTACCATTTACTTGGTGAGTACCATTTACTTTGTGCGTAATCATAACCTATGTTGCGTACCTCATTCATTTCATGATTCTCAGTTTCTTCTTATTTGTATTTCTAGATTGCTACAAGCACAATACTGCGATCTTCACTTATCCCTGTTAGGGGGATTTCTGTTAATTCCATCTCACCTCTGCCGTCTCTCTCTCTTTCTCTCTGTATCTCTCTCTCTCTCTCTCTCCTCCCTTTCCGACTCTCTCTCTCTATATCTCTCTCTCTCTCTCTCTCTCTCTCTCTCTCTCTCTCTCTCTCTCTCCACAGACATATTTATGTTTGTGTTCTCTGCTCTTCCTTTTTTCTTTCTTTTTCTCTCCTCTGTCCTCTCTCTCTCTCTCTCTCTCTATCTCTCTCTCTCTCTCTCCTCCCTTTCCGACTCTCTCTCTCTATATCTCTCTCTCTCTCTCTCTCTCTCTCTCTCTCTCTCTCTCTCTCTCACTAACTGCAGACATATTTATGTTGGTGTTCCCTGATCTTCCATTTTTCTTTCTTTTCCATGAGTTCCATGAATGGGAATTCGGAATACTTTTTATGTTGTCGATACTTTTACATTACTTTTCAATGTAATTTTAGCCCTTTAACAACATTGCATAGCGTTTCTTTTCATTGGCTTTCAAAAGAATTTACTTTTTGTTATATAACTGCCTATTTTTATTTTTGTATTTGCTTCTCATCAATTTCACAAAAATCGGCTGACGATATCATTGTGCCTATTGTACATTAAAGTTTATTTTATTTTTTTACAAACTTTAACGTTCAGCTTGTTTTCAACTCAAAACATCCATGGCTCTAACTCCACAGCGATGGCTGACGTTCCTTACTGCCTAGATTACTATTATAATACGAAGGTAAGTGTAAAATTTTCTCAGTTAGAACTCTTTTTTTTTTCCCTGCTATATTGCAATCCGTTAATTTGACTTTGTAAATATATTTAATAGATTGAAATGTTTACTCACAAAAAAACTAATACCAGGGGTATGCTAATTGGAGGAGCTTGGTCGCCATTTCATCTAAACTAGTTTCTTGTTTCCTGAATTTAGTGGGGTTTTTTACTCATAAATACGTTTACTGAATAAATGTGCTTCGTATCATAATTCAACATAAGATTACAATAATATTACATTAATAGTATCTACTCCGGATCATTCGATTGTTTCTAACGTAGTAAATATTCGTAAAACACGAATCTTGCGCTAAAGACCTGTAAATACCATCTTTTCAACCTACAGCAACCCAACAGTGAGTCTTTGCTGATATTTGGGGTGGACACCGGCGCTATACATCTACTCAATTTTCTGAAACCTGTTACGCAGCTTTTTGAGAACCCTTTCAAAAACGACGGAGGGGGGCAACATATTTTTATGCAGGTAAACTCCTATGGCTGTGCAAAAGCACATTAAAGTAGCTGGAAGTATTTTATAGATCCATTCAATCTGTTTGTTATCAAAAGCAATTAAAAAAAATTTGCTCTAATCGTATTAATCTTTTTTAATAATAAGCAAGCAGAAATCTATTTCATTATCAGCCGAAACTTGTTTCAAACATTCTTACGATTCTTCAACTTCTGTGGTACGATCACGAATGAAGTTATACCATTTTATCCCCCAGGACTTGTCACATCACTGTCAATGGGTCAAGCACACTGTCCTCACGGACATTCACTCAGAGATCATACGCCAGGTGCGGTACCTGCCGGACAACGAGGCCATTATATCAAGCTCAGCGTCACCCAAAAACTCCATCGTCATCTGCGATACCATTGGGGTCAAGAAGTCTTACGTCTTCAAACTGGAGAAGGTTTGTTTTCATGGCTGTCAGAAATGTATTTTTGTATTTTTAGCTGAATAAAATTCGAACTTTTAAGCACAGTTTCTATGTAAAATGTTCAAATGTGCATAAAGCCAGAATCATCAATAAGTTTATCGTGGGCCCTCAAACTATGGAAGAAGAAGATGAAGCTATGCGAACGAATCAGCTAATTTGTGTCCAGTTATTCAAACATGAACAATTAAATGATAGTAAAACTTTTTTTTTTTTTTTAAATGTATATCTGTAAAATAAAGCATTTTAAAATCCTTTAATATTAATTTCGCTTTTGCTTGCCAAGGGAAAACCCTTGGAAGGCTAATCGACCCACCCTCCCGCTAGCCAATCGAAATGAAACTAGGCACACAGAGTCGCAACCCACATTTTAGAATTTCAGCCCAACCCCTCCTACCCAGATCCCCAGAAATAAGTTTGTCCTGTATTTCAAGGGTAAGATTGAGCAAATATGATGAACAACAATTTTAATAATTTAAAATCCTTATTAAGGATTTATACGAACAGCTTAGTTTTTAGGGATTGTTTCATGAAAATACATTTCGGATTCTTTGCTTTAAACAAAAATTCAATTCTTTAAACAGCGCATGAGACATGCTCAACTTTGTTTCAGGGCGCCGAGTGCTTTGATCACAACAAGAACCTCAACTTGCTGGTCACTGGTAGTGGAGACCATATTGTACGCCTATGGAACCCATACGTGACCACTAAACCTGTGGCCGTTTTGGTTGGACACGCCACCAGCGTCATAGGTGTAGCCATTCACGAAGGATTCCGACAAGTCTTTAGCTACTCAAAAGATGCGGTAAGCTGGATAGTACTTTCACCATCTAGATCGCGTATGTGCGTGCTTATCTATTACAAGTACTACAAACGTAACCAAACACTTGGTAATTACATTTTCTAAGGATAAAACCAGAGGTTTTTCTGCTTTTTTCTGACTTTATAATTAATATATAAAACAAATCAATCAAGTTTTTAAATAACGATAGCTTTCAGTAAGTTTTTTTTTTTTTTTTTTTTTTTTTTTTTTTTTTTTTTTTTTTTTTTTTTTAAAATATATTATTTTTTAAAAAAAAAAAAAAAAAAAAAAGTTAAAAGACAAAAAAACAACAAAAAATGTGTTTTCAAATTATTTTTAAAAAATCTTGTGACATCTTTCAATCTGATTCCTGTGTTTCATCAGTCAAGCCTAGAAAGCAAAGACTCTCTCTCCACGTCTTCCAAGATATTCATTGCTCCCTCTATACTCTATACCTATAGTGTTTCCAAATAGGGTGATCTAAGCTATGCTCTATGAGAGCACGTCTGAGAGTAGACTGCAAAGTGTACAGAAACATATTGTATTCAATGAAGTGCTCAGGCCTGTCTTATGACTTATTAGTTCCGTTCATGACCACTAAGCAATTTTTGAAGGAATTTAATATTTTTGTATTGTTTTTTTTCTATTTACCGAGTTTGTGGTAAGTTGAGATGACATACAGGCGCAATGATTGACTTGGCATACAGGCGTATAATATGTTACAAAATTCCGATAGGTCGAGATGATATAAAGGCGTATAATTATCTCTAAGTTTTTCATAGATTGAGATAGCACACAGGCGTATAATTATTTACATATTTCTGATAGGCCGAGATGGCCTTCAGGCGTATAAATATTTTCTTACATCAAATATTTTTTTTAAATGAAAACACACACATCTATTTGAACGTTTTCAACAGGTTGTCAAAGTGTGGGACACAAAAGAACACGTCTGTTTGCAGACGGTAACCTTAAAATTTCCTTCCGCTCTCAACGGGCGCATGCCCGAACACGGTCAGTTTCCTGTCCACTTGCAGGGTCCACCTCACAGCGCCTTTGTGGTCACCTGTAACGATTACATAGCCGCGCTGAGGTTGGGTAAAGTGGAAGAAAACACGTCACACCTGGAGGTGACCCACGACACCCAGCTCTGCAGTGCCATCTACAATAAGTTTCTCAAACAGGTTTGGACTGGAATGGATTTAGTGCTAAATTAATTATTTCAGAAAACCCAATTGGTGAAGCGAAAACCGAATTAATTAATTTTTTAGATGAATGAACTATTTCCCCTAGCATTTATTCAATTAATTTTAATGAAACGTACTTTTGAAGTTTAAAGAACTAATGCTTGATGATAAAAGCGTTGTTGGTTGTTTAAAAAAAACAACAACTTAAATTTAGATCCAATCTTCTGATATGATATGCAGTTTAAGAGTTTTTGGCGAAACAAAATCTGTGGATTTTGACAATTGGAAATGACTATTGATTGATATATCTTGTTAGCCATTTTATTAAAATGATAATGCATATTATTATTAAAAGTTATTTAATTACATTGAAATATAGGACTTCATAATTTTTGGACGTATTTTCTGTCTGTTAGGTTGTCACCGGATGTGACTCGTCCACTATTTCCGTCTGGGACATTGAGACAGGCAACAGATCCACCGTTTTATCCAACGCTCACGGGGATGAGGAGATCACATGTATAAACTTTGACTCGACGTACAGGCGACTCATCTCTGGTGCCAGGAATGGGGGCATCAAGGTCAGCGATCCTCAAACCTCGTTTTTTTTTTAAACGTCGCTGTGAACGTGTTATTCTCCTCTTTGAATTGACCTTATTAAATGGCCTAGTAATTAATGTATGGTTGAAGACACACATGGGGAAGAAGCAAAGTAGTCGAATTAAATTTAACAGATATTATCGAGCTTTGATTTTTCTGTTGTATATTTGTTGCATAGCAAAATACAAGAGAATGAATGTAATTAGTGTAACAGTATATGTTTTTTTTTTAAAAGGCTGTTAAACTGACAGAGTAAAGCGGGTATCGGCAGTTTTTAAATGATTTATGAAAAGTATGAAGAAAAAAATGTAGACACCAATCGTTGAAACCAATTAATTTAATTTCAAGCTAATGTTCTTGTCACACAATTTTAAGTCAGCTCTCCACTTCTATAATCTCAGTGAGTCCTTTGTTATGACGTGCCCGGTTTTTTTTACCATTCACTTGCTATGACCCTCAAACAAATGCCGGCGGCAGTGCGTGACCTTCCCCGTTTACTAAATTTATTTGACACAGCATGCATTAAAGCAATGCACGTTATTAGAATCTCCAGTAGTGCTGACCACGCCCCATGGTGCGCAACCGAACACTTTTTTTCCACGACCCTGATCTCTTATTGATAATGTGCGACCCACTTTTAAATTGCAAATTTATAGCATCATATTTTGATTATGCTCAGTTCACACTCATTATTTGTGCGTGTTTTGTTGGTTTGTATGTTTGTTTTTTGTTGAAAAAACAAACAAATGGGAATTTGATCAAATAGTAATTTGAAAGTTGTGACGAGGCTTCATACAAATATCGCATTAAATGTTGGGTCACAAAATTTTGATCGTGTGAACTGAGCATTAGACTACGTCCGTACAACAAAAGAATATAAAGTGCATCAAACTTTCGGTATTTTGTAAGAATCTCATCAAGCGCAGATATCCGAAATGTTATTATTCTCGTTATTGAATTCACCTTTACACCATACTTTCCTTTCATACCTAGATAATGACACGTAGTGATGGTATTATTCTGTTAAAAATGTGTTCTCCTCTTATTATGGGAACATGGTTGCCATTTTTTCATTCTACTTCAGGTATGGAATTTCCAGAACGGTCACAACCTCCACAAGCTCGAGGCGGTCGGTGAGCATGAGGTCACAGGTATCCTACAACTGCCTGAGAAGAAAGTCATCCTGGCTGTCGGCTGGAACCAGAAGATTGTTACCTATGACGACACGTCAGCAGACGTACGTGTAATTTCTTGTCCAACTAGAAGCCACAAAAACAATTTTATATCAAATGAATAGTTCAATAATGGCTAAAGTAAAAAAAAAAAAAAAAAAAAAAAAAAAAAAAAAAAAAAAAAAAAAAAAAAAAAAGAAAAAAAAAAAAAAAAAAAAAAAAAAAAAAAAAAAAAGAAAAAGCAATACAATAAAAATGCCGTCTGTCTTATTTTATGAGCCATAGTTCAAAAATAAATAGTTAACGCATCATTTCTGATAATTATTCTGTTTGAGATCGTAAAAATCTTTAAATAAGTTTAACTTGAGAACAGTATACAAGAAAACAAAGGTTTTGGAATCAGAAGCTTTTTTAAAATATTTATAATTGCCACAAACTTTAATTAAACTGTAAAGTCAGATCTTATAACTTCAAAAAAAATTTTTTTTTTTGGACAAATGACTAGAACATGTTCATCGCTGCCAATGCGTCGTGGAAGGGAGGACAGTTGCACAATGATGACATTCTCTCAGCTGACTTTGTTGCCCCAAACTTCCTGGTCACGGCGAGTTTTGATGGGGAAATCATCGTCTGGGAGGCTGACACGGAGAAAATCTACGTCAGGCTGAGGAAAGGCCAGCCCACTAATATGTCAGTGATAGTTCTCTAGTCATTCGTTAGACTCTATTAAAGTCAACAATCGGGGAAAAAAGACGAAATTAAGTGTCGTGGAACTATAAAACTGTAATGCTTTTAAAGTAAGTCACTTTTAAAAGAACCGAACTATTTATAGACTGATAAAATTGCACACACGATTTCAGCTCTAAGAAACTGGAGGCGCTGAAGTCTCCGCTGATGGGCCCAGAAGAGCGCCCCCTGTCAAGGACAGCAACCTACATCTCCAGGCCCAATTCGAGACACAGATTGTCACACAGGGTAGAAAAGGGGTCAGTGCTAACCGAAAAAGAAAATTTGGAACAATCACATTTTAGTTTTCTTTTTGAAAATTTTTTTTTTGTTTAAAAAAAAGGTTTCAATCGATTATTATTATTATTTTTTTTTTGTTGTTGCATTGTTCGAAAAGTAAGAAGTTTGACACATGTTAAAAGAAAGAAAACCAAACCAGGAAAATAAATAAAAATAGTAATAAAGAAAGGAAAAAAAAAATCAGAAGACTTACAGTAAATATTGTAAAATTTCCAATTCATTTTAAGTAGACTAGTTTTTTTAATGATAAAATATTCTCATTTAATACCATTAGATGTAAAAAAAAACAAAAAAACACCAAAATATTGATTTTTTATATGATCATAACGGTCATCCTCATGCAGCCACGCCCCTCCAGTGGATAAGCTGATGTTCCTCAAGGCCAGATCGAGTGTCCGTTTCACCGAGAGCGCCATGTTGATATCCAGTGAGGCGGGGAACCTGAGGTGGTGGAACATCTACACGTCCCACAAAGAAATGGGTAAGGGAAATAACAAATGCAATAGAGCATTAAAAACTTCTTACTTCCCTTAACCGTTTTAATCTCGAAGTACGTCACAGTGATGGGACAGGCGTAGTCTAGTTTCGTTGAAATTTAATTGAGTGCAAAAAATATCAGGTTGGTGCTAAATATTATTTTAAGAATAAGTTCTAAATAGTTTTATGTATGCTAAGAATATTTGACATTGTTGTAATAACTCCGTCTAGTGTTTTATCTTACTCTACATCAGTGGTTCTCAACCTTCATAATGCCGCGACCGTTTAATACAGTGCCTCATGTTGTGGTGCCCTACCCAACCATTAAATTATTTTCAATGCTATTTCATAAAAATGTGTTTTGCTTTGGTCTTAGACGACCCCTTTGTAAGGGTCGTTCGACCCTCCAAAGGGGTCGCAACCCACAGTTTGATAACAGCTGCTCTACACCCAGGTTATTGCTGATGTTTTATCTTACTCTACGCACAGGCTATTTTTATGCACCAAGCATCCAAGATGAGTCAGTATTAGCTATGTGCACCAAGCCGAACGACAGCCTGCTCATCACTGGTGACACACAGGGGATTGTACGGTGCTGGGATATCATGGAATACTGCACCAAGTATGAAGGGGTAGGTCATAGAATCTACATTGCATGGTGCCTGGAGATAATAACATTGTTTCTATACTTTTAACGGTTGTTTACGGCACCATGCTTAGAGTCCGCCTCCGTTTGATAACCAGTTCCGATATGTAGTTAAGCAAAAAAATGTTAAGGCATGCACTTGAATGAAATGCTAAATACAAATTCCAGGGAACTCATTACTTCGCATTTATATTGGTCACTATTGTAGGTGTCATAAAGGTGTCAAAGAAACCCGAATATTTTAACCCGGCATTGGATGGCTGTAAATTAAAAGATAGATTAATGTTTAAAAATTTGCTTGCTGGCACATTAAACCAACGTGTGTACACAGCTTAGACGAAGACTCCATTTCACAACTGTCGCTAAGGCTTATTCTGTTTTAACTTCTGTCTTACGAATTTTATCAGTGTAAGTTTTTAAAGCTTGTTTTAGTGGATCCCAACCGTTCCACATATCACCAGCCGTGTTACCCATCTAAAGAATTCCTAAAGATTGCTCACTAAGGCAACACATTTTATAAATAAAGTGGGTTTGCTGTTCCAAACACAGTTCGAAATTGAACGCTATGCTATGCAAAGCCTTAACCTTTTCGGAAGGTATTAAGACATGTGGGATGTGCTAATGAAATTACTTTAACGGTTCTGTAGCATAAAGGTATATTGATTTGGTCGTCTTCAGTTCATCGTTAAGTCACCTCCTCCGCTAGAATGTACCTGGAAGGCCCATGACTCGGCCATAGTTAGTGTGGAGTACATTCAGCATGACGCCGGGACGTTCATCTTAACAGCATCAACGGACAAGACAGCGAGGCTTTGGTCGACAGAAGGTCATTTTATTGGAACATTTGGACAAGTAGGTGCAATACTGGACATTTCTTATAATTGAAAGAACCGAGAATAGTAACATTGTACAGCTTTATAGCTTGAGAAGTGCAATCAGTGGTTTATTTAGTTTTGAAAATTATCGCACTTTCAATATTTCACACTAATACAAAATATTTCAGATAAGTTTTAAAAATAATAATAATATTTTGTGTTCTTTTGGTTTAACAGAGGGAATCTTGGAATCTCAAGACTCCTTCCACCTGGGCACATCCAAAAACACCTTGGTCTAAGGAGGACGAGAAAACTGCAGGTCAGTGTTAAATTATTTTTAAAAATTGTTATACCTCTATTGAGCTCAAGTTACTATAAGGTAAAACTCGATTTTTACATTGATATCATTATGAAAATTCTCATAATTTTGATGCATCACTTATCATTCTTGAGTATCTGACGTCAAGGAAAAAAACCCTCGAGGTTCAAATTCATACATTTTTTAATGACTGAGCCGTGCATCAAGCCGCGTAAGTACCGTCCGTTGTTTCAGTTATCATACATTAGCTCCATTCATCAAATCGCTCACAGCTCACAGTGGTCCATCATCCAGCACTCCAGAAGTCAATGATGTCGAGGAAGAGATCCCGGAGAGAGAAATCACGGACATCAAAAGTATGATAACACTGACCATGGACAGCAGAGAGACAAGTTTCAGCTCAGCGAAACCGGTAACACTTTGTTACACGTAGACATGACTGTTAAAAAGCATTTTGAAATTGAGAAAAGTTATTCTTGTGGGGCACAATCTACTAAACTTTTATAGAAGCTTCTGCAACAACAACAAAAATACAATTAATATTAATTAAACAACCCATAAGAACAAATGTTTTTCTTATAAATCCGTCATGTGCAATGTTTATATTTTATATTAATATTTTAATGTCACACCGTTGCTACTCCGCAGATTAATTTCAACACTATTCCAGAAAAAAAAAACGAAAGAAAATATTACGCACCGATCTCTCTTGCTACAATTCTTAAAACACAATTCCTTTAGCGCTATTATCGGGGAATTTTCTTTCCTAAAATCAGTGACATCACATATCCTTTATCTGCTCCTTGAAAAACGGGAAAAAATTGATTTTTGGGGGTTAGGTTCGGGGATTCTGTTAAAAATTTGATAGATTGTGTTGTCATTGGCAACGAGCCCCTGTGCCAAGTTTCAGCTCGATGGTAAGTGGATCAATTAGCCGTGCGAACATCTTTCCAGCCAGAAACACACGAACAAAAGGCTAAGTTAATAGCAAGGATTTCAGAACTAAGACATCTCCCATTCATGTAACATTGATCTCAAAATGGAATAATAAAAAGTAAATTGTGTGATACTCAACGTTACAGCCTGCGTTAAAGCCGGGGCTTCCCGTGGTGCACATTTTGGGAATCACCGTCAAAATTGATTTATTTGAGTATGAAAAATAACCAAAAAAAAATTGAAAGGCTTGTAAAGTGCAACTAGAAATTCTACATGTTTTCATCTCTCCAAATTTTTTAACATCTCATTTTTTTATACTATCAAAGCTAAAGTAGAAATGGTTTTCTAATATTTCAAGAAATTTGTTCTGTACAATTTATTGGCAGCCTAGAGATCAAGATTTTACTCATTACTTTTATATTTCTATGGTCAAATGATTCTTGCTTGCTTTTTTTTTCATTTAATTACTTTTAATTTTTTTAAATTTTAAATTAGTCATACATTCTTGAGCATACTAAGAATTCTCTCCCACCCCCCCCCCCTTTTTAAAAAAAAAAAAAAAAAATATCGTTATCATGAAAAAAAAAGACAACAATTTCTGAAATACAACTTAAATTACTATAAAAAATAATTTCCTAACCATTTTCTAGGTTTAAAAAATACATTTGTATTTACAAATGCAAATCTCTTAATAGCATGAAATCTCTTTGAGACAAAGTCACTCTGACATGTTGCATAAAACTTTGTCATATAACCATAATAATATTAAACTCAATGAATTTTATTTTCCTGAAGACCAGTTGACAGAAAAATAATTTGATTCATACGTCCATCTAGTTCTGGATCTTGTACCGGTTCACAGTGTCAAACATAATGATAACCCCACAGGCATTGAGCGGACCGAACTCATTTCTGTAGCCGTATTCTACAGAGGCCTCTGACCTTTCAACAATATTCATTGATAATTAATCAAATATTATTCTCTGTGGATTTTGCTTTGCCGAGTGTGGAAATGTGCGCTTGAAAATTGTAAAATGTGGAAAACGAGAAATAATTGTTTATAGCCTAAGGGGATCTGATACAATTATACAGCAATATATTAAATGTAAAACAAAAAAATCCCCCAAAACATTGATTCCAAATGATGAATGTAACTTCATATGACTTAGGTGACGTGTTCCAGCTGCTGGTATGTTTTCTATAAAACAACTGAGAGATCTGGGTATTGGTAACCTGAGTTGCACGTTTGTATCCCATACTATGAGTAGATGAAGCATTTTGAAACATGATTTTAAGAGTAATTTTAAAATTTAACGTTTTTCAGGCAATTTAATTCTATTTGGAAAGTAGATATAAGAATGGTAGATAGAAATAAAATCAACGCTCACTCACTTATACCCACATACATACATACACATGTCTGCACATTTTAATCTATATTTTGCTATTTATTGACTGTAATTTTATTACTATTTATATATTTCTTTTTAAATTAATAACAACACAAGTAGCAATTAACAGAGGAATCTATTTCATACATTTTTATTAACATGTAAATTTACAAAAAGTCAATCCAATTGTCGCTGGAATTATTTTTATTGGTGATGCTATAAAATATTATTGTCCGGCCTCCGATCTCTCCTCAAGACTCTCTTGGGCATCAAGGTGGAGAAGGACTTGGAGAGACGCCAGAGAGACAGGCAAGGGAGGCGTGTTCAGTTTGGAGAGATCTCACAGCAGAAGACGTCACGTTTCGGAAAGCAGTGCTCCCCCTATCAAGCCCTGACCACACCCGTTAGTTGAATGCGTTGAAAGTTATAACTAGAATTGCATAAAATAAGTTGTTATATATTAACACATACCGCATGAAAAATAACATCAGTGCTTTTCATCTAGGTTTATATATTAAGGAATAAACTTTGTTGTACAAAATTTGTGTTGGGCATTTAACTATTGAGTAAGTTGCTACACACACACAATTCATCTGTATAATAAAATAATAACAATTTAGTTTGAGATTACTCATCACTTAAAGAACGAAACAAAAGTTTTTGTGTGACTCATGAAAAATGCTTCACTGAATTTTAAGAAGTAGTTTTAATTTGCCATAAAATGAAAGCCGCCGAGATTACTGGATAGATAGGGATATAATTTATTTATCCAGTGTGACTGAACTAACTTCTGATATACATTATATTTTAGAGAAATACTTTGATTCTTGAAATTCTTCAATTCTCAGGACTGGCAAGAGGTCGAAATTCCAAGTAATCTCCCTTTATCGCAGAGAATGCAGCACCGCGGCTACTCCGGCAGCAACTTGACCCTGGACTACATCAAAGCCATGGACTTTTCTTACGGAATGCCCGAGTCTCCGCCAGTGACCAGGGGCCCCACACCTGGAACGCGCGGGGTTACCCCGGGGCATCCAGCACCATTGGGCCAAGAGAAACTCGCCAGACTGCCACCCATAAAGTCGGGCAAAGGGCGACCATGCTCCAACAGACCGGTAACCATTAAGAAGACTTCCTCTGTACTTTAAGTTAAACTTTTTCAAAGCCGTGACTGAACAATGAAATTTTAATGTTATTAAGAAAACAACCGCGGTACTCCACTCATGGTTTTGTGAAGCATTGATGTTCTTTAAAAAATGTATTGGACTTGTTGACTGCTGAAATTACATAATTCAAGATATAATTTAAAAGTAAACGCTATCTATGTCATGAATGAAACGATTCTGACAGGCGATCTTAACGAAGTGATTGTAAAATTTACAAAAGACTAACAAACAAAAAAAGAAAATGAAGAATAAGCGCCATCAATTACAAAGAGATGAGAACCTTCTATAGTTTTCGCTCTACACTGTTATAATATTTCTCTATTTTTTTATTAAAGAATAATATTATTCACTAGTGGCGGAATGGCGGCAACCTGATAAGAGAGCGTTGATCCGAGTCGACTTGGTAAGAGAGTGTTGATCCGTGTCACAACCTGATAGGAGAGTGTTGATCAATATCAACTTGATAAGAGAGTGTTGATCCGAGACAACAAGATAAGAGAGTGTTGATCCAAGTAAACTTAAAAGAGAGTGTCGATTCGTGTCACAATCTGATAAGAGAGTGTTGATACGTGTCACAACCTGATAAGAGAGTGTCGATTCGTGTCACAACCTGATAAGAGAGTGTTGTTACGTGTCACACCTTGATAAGAGACTGTCACTTGGTTTGTTTGTGACATGCAGCAAAACAATATCAGCGTTACGAACATTTTGAGAACCCTTGTAAAATATCTTATCAGTTTGCATTTCATTATTATCAATAAACTATTTTCAATTTATCAATAGCATCATTATACTTGACTCTTTTTTTTTATTTTAAATATTGATAATGGAGCAGCTGTTGCCTCCCTATTCGAATTGTGGATGAATGTTGTACTTTAATGTCCATGCTTCATGTTGCGATTCTGTCCTGTAGCATTAATTAACTCCTACACTCATGTTTATAAAATGTAATAAAAAGTGAAACATGTTTATTGTAATAGAACGCCAAATGATTTTGTTAAATGCATGATTGTATTTATATTTTAGTTCAATTCACTACTTCAAAGACACATCAATCTTATATGAACTATGCACATACATTTAAAGAAATTATGTAAAATACCCCCCTTCTCCCCCCCCCCACCCACCTGTTTGCACTGTTAGTCTTTCACTGTAATGACGTACTTATTTATTATTAAATTTTTAGTTTTTTAAAAAACGCACTGTGATATTAAAAAAAGCCATTAAAGAAAAGAAATTTTAATTATTAAAACTTTTTAAACAAAAAAAAATAGAGTTTCGTTCCTTTATCAGCTAATTGTTTTCATGGTGTTTACATATTGTATTCGATTAAGTTAAAATTAATTAGTTTAATTTCTTAATTTTAACCTTGGTAACGTATTAAATCAAGATACATATAAAAATTACTTGTAAATTGTATCCTGTTTTTTTCGTCCGTACAATATCTTTGCAGCAGCGCATTACTTTCCTTGTCCTGTAAGTTAAAAAGTGTAAATTGAATCCATAGCGATTTGAACCAGAGATTAGGAACGAAACAAAAGAAATGCCTCTCCCCCATCCCCCAACCCCCCCCCCCCCCCCCCCCCCCCCCCCGCAAACCCACAAAAAACACAAC